AACTTGAAATCACATCATATGACCCCTTTAAGTTTTTTTTGTTGTTTTTTTTAGTTCAGATTTCTTTCTTTCTTTCAGTCGGTTCTGCTTTCAGTTACCGAAAAAGCTAGAAAAAAACATAACTTTTTAAGTGAACAAAAGAATAAAATCCTTTTTTTTAATTGTATATGAATTTTTCATGAAATCAGGCCGAACATATATTATTTAAAGCATTTCATACAATGCTAAAAGCTACACCTGCTTAGCATTTCCCTTTAAAATATATTTTAATAAAATAATTTAAATAGTAAATTTGACAGTATAAAAAAAATATTTTTTATTTTTTATTTAAACAACATATAGTTTGTGAATCGAGGCTCTGTAAAGGGTCCAGAAATTCTCTTTGGATTTCTCAGATGTATATCATTAAATTAAGTAGCTTACAGTATATAAAACCTCTTGGTATGTCCGATGTTATGCCATCTCTCTTGAAGCATCACCTTGCAGCCTTACCGTGAATGAATTTATTTTAGTCTCCGCTCACTTCACTTCCATTTCTCCACGTAAACTTTGAACCCTCACCTTCCACTGTATCATAACAAAGTAGGTCTCATTCCTCCAATTCATCTCAAAACTCAATTTCATTACACTCCTATCATTTCCACTCAAATGGCCAGACGTATCTGATGGCAGGATTGAAATGAAGAATTGACAGGAGACGACCTGAGACTGACACAACGCCACCTGAGGATTTCACTGTGATTGCCTTTCAGAAGGAAGCAGCCGCATATCTGAAGAAAGACGAGTTCAGTGGGATATTAGCAACTGCTAAATGCATACTAAATGCACTGTATGCTAGTAGAGCACTTTCTACTTAACAATTATAATAATAATGTGAATTAGTACAAACAACAAAACAATTTCAAAAAGAATTATGCTAGATTGTTGTCAAATTACATTATATTTGTCCTATTAATTCATTACACGAGTTTAATTCCAGTGGTTATCAACGTTTATTTGACCATTTTTGGTAAAAAATAAAATAAAATAAAAACTCTTGGCAATGAATTAATGAGTCAATAATCATTGTTCAAGCTTAAGAAGGTCAAGGTGTTCTGAAACGACAGGAAACTCTCTGCATCTTTACTTCTGTTTGCAGTAGAAATATAAATAGATTACACACGTAGTTTTCCCGTTTTTAGCTGTGATTTTAGATGCCATTACCTTATATGTAATGGCATATTCATAAACAGCTCATCTTTAGTGTAGTCTTGAATTTAAATTTGTTGTTGTTTTTGTTTTGTTTTGTTTTATTATTTTTGTTATCTTGTTTTTTTTCAGTGTTTTTTATTTAGTTTTATTTAGTTTTGTTCTGTTTTTTGTTTGTTTGTTTTTTGTGTATTTATTTTTGTGTCCTTTGTGTGTGTGTGTGTGTGTGTGTGTGTGTGTTGAATCCGTGTATCATTCGATCATTCGTTTTTTATTTAATATTGAAAGTAGAAAAATTAGAAAATGGCTCCTTTTTAGTTTTTTTCCGAAAAACAAAAAACGAGAATTCAGCTCAAATTTTCGTTTTTCGTTCATGGGTGGAAAAATTAATAAACAACTTGAATATTTGATTTCTACATGTGGGCTGGAATTAAACGCCCCTTTCTGCTGATTGGTCAGCCGAAGATCAAACTGTGCCGTCATCAGTTCTTCTGCAGTATCACACAGCAGAATAATAGTCCTCCGCTGCTGCAGTTGTATGGATTCTTAACACATTTATTGCAACTACAGTTCATCTTTTTTCATCAAACAAACAGGCTAATGAATAGCTCGACACAACTCGTACCGGGGCAGAGTCTAGA